CATCTATAATCTAAGTGACGATACCAAGCCAAAGGCCCGGAAACTAGAACGATGCGTCAAAAAGCTCGTCAATGCTGGGTCAGTAGTTATTTTTCATCAAACATGCACAAAAGAAAGGATTCTGACAAAGCATTCCAACATAAATAAATGTATATGCATGCATGTATGCATGTATACACATAAAGCGATTATTATCTTGACAGTTCTCATTATCATTGTTATTTAGCGCTGCAATCTCATTTAACGAGTGCTTCCTAGTTTGTTCAAGGTCTTCAGCTCGAGATAAGAACTTTCAACTCACAATGCCGAAAAACCACTAATTGATGGCCTTTCTTTCCTATAATATCGATTCTATCCTTCATTTGGTGACTGAGATGAACACCTCGGGAACAATTAAAACCTTTGGGGCTTTAGACGAGAGCTTAAGGGATAATCTAATGAAACTCATTCCCGATTAATGTGCTTCTTTAGTCGGGAGTCCACAGTTTTAGTCGACACTACTAGTTCAGTGAATAGAAACTCCGTAATCGACTTGCTCTGTCTTTTCTGATTGAGCCTCACGGTGAAACCACTATCCTAAGTTCTGAAATAAACAAATATGCACACAGCTCAACAATGTAAAACTCGACCTTCCAAGTGGGTTAAAACAAGCCATCTTAATCTTTGTACCAGGCATTATTGATACGTTGATAGTCAGTTTAACGACGGCAGAGATCGCCGACATAATGAAACTTGTCAACTATCCAGAAAGCTCATAAAAGGAAGTATTGCACATTTTGGAACAAAATGCAGACTACCTGAATGAAACGACGTTCCAAGTAAATATTAACCGAAGAGCTATAAGGCAATCAGATTCAGATTACACTCAGAGATGGCTTAGGACATAAATTTTAGAGCGATGCCAACCCTATATGTGCCAAAATGGTCATCTTCACGAATCTAGATGACATGGACACAGCTTTTCAAGATTTGCCACTAACCTGTCAAAGCTTCTGTACTAATAACCAAGGGTTTAACTGAAATATACGACTTGGCTGGTGCGTAAAATTATCTTCGGAATGGCGCGTTGGCATTCATCGAAACACATACAGCTGCTGCTATCTGTCGCTAGAACATCAAGGAAATGCGTCATCGCATAGATCTCGGGCTTGCGTACTTTAATTGATTTAGCCATAATCATATACGCGAGCGGACAAGACACCACGTGTGACGGAAGTGCTGGCGCTCGCTTACAGCATGTGGGGCTTTCTGTTACTGTGTACGGTTCGCTGACTTAATGGGACTAGCCCAAGATAAATGCAGATCGCCCGGAGCGATCAATAGCACGGGGACCTGCGAGCAAATACAAATAAATCAAGGGCGGGAGAAGGCTCCTAAGCGATTGGGGCGCCCCGGAAAGTAAACATCTAGGGTCCCCGGTAAATGCTTAGAGCCCCTGGATAGCGTAATGAGCCCGAAAACATCCTCAATCATTCATTTTCGGTTTCATCAGCATTCTTGGTCGTCTAGAGGCCCAAAACAATTCCTTGTGTTATGTGTAAAAACCTTAGTATGTTGGGCCAGTTATTATCTGTTTGTCCCCATCCTCGCCCTGGGTCCTGCCGCGGGCCCCTGAAAAGGATCGACTCTCTATCGGGATCTCGTTCTGTGAACATTTGTCAGTCTACCTCCCTTTGCCGTGGCAGTGACTGCGCGGGGCCAGCCATATCACCAAGTATCGGAGATTGCAATCACGAAGCTCGTGACAGGATACTAAAAAGCGGGCTGCTGGAACTTTTCCTATGGTGGACATTTCCACGTATTTCTCAGGTGTTTCCTGTTGATGACGACGGTTTCCAGGTAGCTGACGTAGCACGCTACATCAGGCTGGCCTGGACGGTTTGAATGAAAGACGGTTGCCACGAAACGCATTGGTGGGACAGCGCAACACCAGCCACACGAGAGCAGTGCGATGGATGTACTCGTTTCGTGGCCCCTGACCTGATCTCTGCAAAAACCTATGACCGGAAACTAACTAACTAACCTTTTTCGTGTATGCTTGTGTTTTGGTAAAAAATTGCAACACGGTGCCCGTCGGCACATCTAATATACGCTTACAATGGGACGTATGCGTGCGCGGCCAAACTTAAATGTCCTTGATCTTGAAAAGTCAGGAGATCACAGAGTTCAGCAGACTTGGGTCAAGCATAACTTCTCTCAGCCTTCCTCTGAACACCACCACATCTGGAGATGACCATGCTGGCCATTCATGCAGCTGCATACCTTCGGACCCCTCACTCGCACCTGGCTTTTAGGGCGATGTTAAGACCGGCGGTCGTGAGCGCCGTGGAGGTAGTAACTCCAGACACTACACCGAGAGGTTGAGCCGTGCGTGCCGTGCGTGTCTGCAGGACTGTGCCGTGCGTGCCGTGCGTGTCTGCAGGGTTGTGTCGCGCATGATTGTGAAGTGCGGTTGGTGCCGGCAACGATGGCATCGCTCAGTGCATATGGAAAATAAAAAGTGCGTTGAAGACTCGATAACGCCTCCCGCGGTCTCCAAAACGGATACGGCATTCAACGTTATCCCCTTTATATGCTCTCCACTTCCATATACTTATGCTTATCAGATATGCTATAAAATATTACTGATATGCAATTAAATATGCTATGTGCACCATAGAATTTATAGTACATGCGTATGCTATAAAATATACGTTTACGGTATATCATTAAATGCATGCTTATTACAGCCAGCTACGCCGCTGCTCTGCCGAACCATCGCTGTTCAGTTAACTCCACATGTCGAAGAGGCTCCGTCCTTCTAGCAACCTCCAAACAGCATCGATTCTTCTGTTAAAGGCGAGGGTGGGGCGCCCACGTCAGCTGAAAACACCACGTGAGCACTTCGACATCTTACAAGGTGGCCATTCATTATACTTGAACTTCTTGGGCCTGACAAGATCATAGCAGAGATACTGGTTGAAAGGGATTGGGTCAATGGGTCAACCAATCACATAGTTTCTATGGTAACCAGGTAGAAGGCTGCTGTATACTTTCCTGAATCATTTGCTATCCTTCTTTTCCCGGTGATTTTCTTTTTGTGCTGTTACAATTGTGGGAAGGATTTGGCCTTAACAGAGGTTTACGGGGCAAATCAATAGCAGGAGTGTAGTAGTAGCAAAGAGGGTATCAGAATTAACGCTCTTCGGTGCTTTCATTAAAAAAACGTGCCAGGCCTGTTGGATTCGTGTTCCGAAGAGAAAGATAATATCTTGCACATGTGTTGAAATGGCAAAAGGAGTTAAGACAACGAGGGCTAAGATATTTTGTGAGAGGGCAGAACAGCGTGATCAGCGGTAGGGACAACAAATCAAACCCTGCCGTCCGAGGTTTCGAAGCCAGACCTCCCTGCCATAGATTAGATTTCGAATTGCACCGCCTGTGGAAGCGTTATGATGCAGGCAGTAATCATGGGTTTGTTGAAAAAGTCGTACTGGATTGCTTGTCAAAATTGGTCCGGAAGAATGGTATGATTGAACGCAAGATGCGTTTATCTGACCCCCGTTTGCGACTTGACGTTGCCTTGCACTAGCAGCATGCCATATGCTCATGAACATCTGCACTGATATGCAAACCGCTCGTAGACCCTTCAAATCTTGTGAACCTGCTTGGGACGGTTCGATAGTCATTTTAGAAACTTGAGGGGACTGCTGTAGAACCCAAGTGCTCATAGCTTAAGACGTGCAATTTTAAGGGACAACACTAGGCATAGCGGGTCTGTAATACGTCCCCTTCCACGCTTATCCTACACCACGAACGCTCAGCGTTTCAATTTTGCGAGAACATCGGGTGGTGTTACGACTGGAGTGCTTTCCTGGGTGGCCGAAGGAGGTCGAGGTCTCAGGAAATCTTGAAGCTCAAGAGAACTCTCGATGTGCTTTGTATAGACCAGGTATCTACTAACGATAGTATCTGTAGGGTAAATGAATCAAAGCACGCACGGCGCCTTGGTGGTGACGCACGCCTGTGTTTGGTGGCGGATGCCGACATACCTGACTTCAGTGTGGAGTCTGAGAGGCTGACCATGCGCGGTGCAGCATTCCAGCCGGTCCTTTCCAGGAACATTGCCAGCAAGCCGATCTTGATCTTGCCAGGAAGACGCCTTTTGCGCTGTTGGGCACGGGAGGTGGCAGCAGACGCGGCATCTTCGCGCTTATGATTCCAGAGCAGAAGCGAATCTGATCAGTCGCCCGCGTGAACCCACACAGACTGGTCCTGTCAATGCGTTTAAGCTAGATTTTTTTTAAAATTGTAAAAGGTTTATGCTGGTCTTGATCCCGGCCCAGGCTCGGTCTCCGGCTTCGGTTTCTGTTCCGGTTCCGGCCCGGCTCCGGCTCCGGCTCCCGCCCCGGCTTCGGCTCTGGCTCCGGCCCCGGCTCCGGTTTCTGTTCCGGCTCCGGATCCGGCTCCGGCTCCGGCTCCGGCTCCAGCTTCGGTTTCCGCCCGCCCGGCCCCGGCATTCTTCTTTTTTTTTGCAAAGCTCGGGCTTGATGGATTATGATATGGACAAAGCTCGGGCTTGGTGGGTTATGATATGGACAAAGCTCGGGCTTCGTGGGTTATGATATGGACTGGGCATGTAACGCGTCGGAGCAGTATATAAATGTAAGAGGTTCCATAACTTCTAACACTAAGCCATCGGATATTCCTATTGGTATTGGAAATCCCCGGTGTTGTTACATGTTCTTGTTCTGAAAATATGACCTTTAACTCGAATTCTGTTGATTTGAGTCATGATTTACCCCATTTTGCTTTATTCGAATCAGACCCAGAATCAGTCGTGTCCATTTGTTTGAATCAACAACTGACTGGAATCAGTATTTGACGGGCAAGTTTGATGTGGATTTTGAGTGAGCTTTCAAGTAATTTGACGAATTAGAGTTTATTTTGTTCATGTGAAGTTGAATCGAGTGCAAGTTTGCGTTGCTCGCATTACGGATGCTCACGTTCGACACTCTTTGTTGAAAACGCCATCGTTTTATTATTTCATTGATCAATACTATTCGGTGTAAGATTTTGCTACACTTCGCATGGTTCAACCTATTCACCGTGCGCTCAGTGCATGGCCATTTCCTCCAAAATTTTAAGTATATATCTATTCACAAAACACAGCGTTCTAAAGATTCCATGAAAATCGCGAGACTCAACAGCGCCGGGATGTCGTCTAGGTAAGATCTCTAGGTCTCATTGCGCCTGTCAGGCAGCTCCTTTTCAGGCATGAAATGGCGGGTAGTCATCTAGTTAGGGGACCGTGACTCACAACACCAGCATATCTGTAATTATTGGGATCCGGCGGATAGCACCTCGCTGCCAGCGATTGCTGCAACGCCGGGCTTGTTAGGCATCTCCACGTGCAGCTCTAGTAGTAGTTCACAGGCTCACAGACGAAGGACTTCTTGTGGTGGCACGCGACGTCGTGCCAGACGATGCCGTCGCCGTAGTAGTGGTTGAGCACGGCCAAGCAATACTCGTTGCCCTGGTAGTTGTCCGGCTGCGGCAGGCCGAGGCGGCCCGTGAACGACCAGTTGGTGAAGCCGTACTTGACCGGTCGGCCGTTGGCCCAGAAGAACTTGTAGCCATTCCTCATGCCCGATGTCCAGATGTACCGCACATCTGCAGCGGAAGCAGGCGTGGTACGGCACTTGACCAAACAGGATCTTCATCCTGATCATCGCATACAACAGGATGAAATAGGTGTTTTATGTAGATTTATTTTTATTTGTGTGTTTGGGGAGGTGCTCTGGCCACCAACTTTGAGATGGTCAAATCTGGGTCAAATCTGGGGAATCTGGGGAATCTGTGTGGGTCAAATCTGGGGAATAACGCGTTTTTGACGCATTTGTGGTAGGTTTGACCACTTACCAGTCACCAGTTCAGTCACCCTTTCACCTTGTTTCTTAAAACTACGTCCTTAAACTCTAAACTGGATGTGTATGACAGAGGTGTGAACGAATTGTGATATTTTTTTCTGATTTGATGTTATTGGTTACGTTATGACGGGCACAGTGCATTGATTTTCGTTCAGCCGTCATTTGCCGACATCATATTCCACATGACGCTATCGAGACGGACGCGATATACCACAATCCCCTAACTTTGCAACGGAATGGTTGGCTGGCAATGGATGGTTGTGGCGAGAGATAGTAATGCTTGCACTAATTGCGTCTCAGTTGAACAAAGTTTTAAAAGGTAGCAGCACATTTTGGACTTAAGTTCTAAACGTGGGGGAGACGGGATGGAACGGCATAGTTGTATTCATTTTGGAGGCCTGAATGCTACTGTCATGACTTACTGTATCTTGCGATCTTGCGTGACACGTATTTGTTTTTGTACGGGTCGTCCAGCGAGACCAACCGCAGTCCTCGGATGGCGCACTGGAAGTTCGCCGCCTGCCAGGTGAACTGCTTGCCCGCCAGATAGGGGTCCAGGAACGAGAAGAAGAGACCGAACTTGTCTGTCGAGAGGAGAGGGCACAGTGAGCATGATCACTGTATGGTAACTCGCGGTTTGGCCTTGCGTTCTGCGTCTTCACTGTTTCGGTGGTATTGCGAAAGCATAGAAGGGTTTGAGTGACCCGAATGGCAACTCGCCAGTATGTTCTGGGCACCATCCGAAACTTCAATATCCATCGTGCATACTATAGAACACCGCGTACGGATCAGGGCCCTGTCACAAATATCTTGACTCTATTGTAACGCAAATTCACACAACCGTGAGAGCCGAATTTCAACGATAGAGAGCCGGACAAAGTCTTACTGTAGCCATTGCTGAAGCCGCCTGCTCTTCTTCGGCCGAAATGTGATCTTTGTCCTCCGCTGAAATATCCTCCTCCTTGGCCGAGATATGATCCCAATCCTCCGCTCAGATATCCGCCTCCCATGCCGAGATACGATCCCAATCCTTGGCTGAAATGTCCGCCTCCTTGACCGCTATATGGGCCGAAATATCCACTTCCCTCCGTCGACGAGAAATCCTCCTGAGGCCACTCCGGCAAGCGCCAGGAGCGGGATGCACGGGATGAGCCGCATCTGAAGCACGGCATCCACTGTCAGCCTCACATCCGATGGTGCGTGACGTTATCCAGTTGCACGAGAAAGGCATGTCGCGGGAGGCAATGTCTGGGCTGGAACACCGTTACGGTAGCTATTGATATGCTCATGACGCTCGTCGTGTGATTTATGATGTTCATCAAAACCCCACCGGTAACCACGACCACATCTGCGCACAGTACGTATGAGTAAGCTGCCACACATCCATCGGGCCCTGGGCAGAGTTCAACGACACCCCACTGTAACAGCCCAGTGAGCAAGCTGGAGTTTATGGTGGCGGGCGCTGTTCCGACCCGACCCCCGCCCTACGGAGCCGTCGCAGCAGAACACGCGCCCCGAGAACCGTGCAGGGCTGGTCCAGACAGCGTCGCGCACTGCTGTCACCCCCACACACCTTCGCTGCTTTGCGGGCTGACTGATGGTGACTGGTTGCGTTGCTCCGCCTTTATATGCGGCCGTGGTGGGCGGGTCTGCAAGCTCGACAGTGCACGCAATGTGCCACACATGACCTTGGTTAGAGGGTGTGTGCAAACGGATAGGAAATGCAATGTCTTAGGACGGATGCGGTGGTGAATGCCAGTTGGCTTCACAGCGTCAGGTGGTGTGAAAAAATTAATATTACAGATAAAATAAACAGCGGAAGAAATTTTACTATATTTCAAATCAGAAAATGTTTTCCATACTATCCTTAACCCTGTCAGCCGAATCCTATACAGAGCCATGGAGCTGCAGACAATGTGCTTTGCTCTTTCTTCCCACGAAATATTGTTCTCCGCCCTTCCACAAAATAGAGGCTCGTATGCAGTAAATTTGCAAATTCAGCTGGTTTTCAAGAAGCAATCGTTGTTCTGACAGCGTAAATCATTCGGTAGTTAATGGATTCAGCATGCCAGGTCCCAAGTTGCTGAGTGTTGAACAAAAGGGCAGGTCGATGGTAAATGATAAAATTTCAGGTGAGAATGTCGGAACAGTTAATTTAGTGTCATAGAGGAAAAGGGAACAGAGTTCGGGGATCGGGATGCGAATGATGCATGAGGAGATCTTGAAGACGTTTGTCCGACGGAAATAGCCGTCGCTGAAGCCGCCCACGATCGTCCGTGCTGAAGCCGCCCACGATCGTCGGTTATGTGCGACCCTTAATATAAAGTCTGAAAAACGTGTCTAGTCTGGTAGACTTATTTGGTTGTTTGTGCTCGTTGTGTGCGCGGTGAGAGGTTTTGAATGTTAGGCTGCTGGGTGTGGGTGGTTTCTGCATCTTAATATTTGGTTCCGACTGCCTGACTTGGAAGCGTGTGGAAAGATTTCAAGGAAGCATCGCATAGATAAGAAAAAATAACAGAACCGTCGAAACATCTAAGCCAACGTTGACGCGCACACCAAAAGCATCATGGCAAAGTAAGCGCACAATAGCCAATGGGATGGCAGGATTTGAACGACGTTGCTATGGCGTCATGCACACCTAGATGCATGTCAAGGCCTTGAAATACTATGCATGAATTAGCCAGCACATAGTTGCGGTCTTTTAACGAAACTTGAGGATTTTGCGTCTTGAGAAGGGTAAGGCTGTGAACTGCACCGAATGATCTTCAATATGGCTTCTTCATTTCAAAACCCCATACAAATCTGGAACACTCCCTTTAGCACGCACTCGGAAGGGGGAGGAGAGGGGGTAGTTGACGCAACAACAAATATTTTCAAGACATTTTTTTTTTAACAGCGGGCGTGGCTGCGCCAACTTATGATTAGCTGTAAATTTGCTAATAAACAATCTGTAAGTGTATAAATATATGTGCCTTGAAATGTCACTGACATATGGCAGGTCAAAGTCAGGCCATAGCTGTCAGAGAGGGTAACTGAAAGGCAATCGTTCAATCTGATGCGACATCGGAGTGTTAGAAGACACACTACATCTCCGAGACGGTGTCGGTGAGGGTTCACTGACCTGTTTTTAGGAACATGTTGGCTGGGAAATCTTACACACTTATCCGAATTAAAAAATCAATGCAATTTCACAGATTTTTGATGTTTTTTGCGTTCCGTAAATCGAATAGGTTTACTGACCGGAAAGGAACACCAGCGGCACAGCATTTGGATCGGAGCTGCAGAGAAAGCGAGAGAGGGGAGAGAGACAGAGAGAGAGAGAGAGAGAGAGAGAAGGAGAGAGAGAGAGAGAGAGAGAGAGAGAGAGAGAGAGAGAGAGAGAGAGAGAGAGAGAGAGAGAGATAAAAGGAAGAGAGAGAGAGAAGGAAAGAGGGAGAGGGAGAGAGAGATAGAGAGAGAGAGAGAGAGAGAGAGAGAGAGAGGAGAGAGAGAGAGAGAGAGAGAGAGAGAGAGAGAGAGAGAGAGAGAGAGGAGGAGAGAGAGCCAGAGAGAGAGAGAGAGAGAGAGAGAGAGAGAAAGAGACAATCACTAGACAGAGTGATCTTATGGCTCTGGAAGCTATTGTGTTTGCAAATAATGATGGCGGCGCCGTGAACTGTGAGCAGCAGCAGGAGGCATCCTTTAATTATATTGTATAACATATCAAGTATTTCTACACTGGTCGTTTGATCGGACCAAACTTTCATGTAACATTGCAATGCAGTGGCGCAGGCAATTGGGTACAGGGGGGGGGGGCACTTGCTCCCCCTCAAGCCCCTAGGGTTCTCGAGACCGAAATGAAGGGCGCGATTTGAGAACCCGGAGGGCTGGCCGTAGGTCCAATTAGGGGTCTTGGCCCTGCGGGTCGGGCCCTCAAACATCAGTCAGAGGGCCTTTTGCGCTGGTTGGGGCCCCCTGAGTCGATGAGGGTCTCTCTGTCGGTCAGGCAACACCGGTACCGACCAGTCGACTTCGTGTCAATCTGAGCCCTGGGGAGCCCATTTCCCGAGCAGGAGCAATGCTGGAGCCCGCAGTTTGCATTAGTCTGGGACACTGAAACAACGAGGGGCTCTTGTCGATCCGGGACCTACAGTGACCAACATGGATCCTGTGCCGGCAAATGGCTCTGAGTCAGCCGGGGGCCGCGTTCGAGAGGGCACGAAGGGAGCCCAAAGAGGGGTCTGAAGGCGTCAAAACTTTTGTGTAATAAAGGCTACGAAAGCTTGAAACACTGTTTAGATAAAAAGATGTGCGAATATGAAGTTAATATCACGCGAATTCAATACAACGTTATAATATGGCATCTACCACAGTATCTTTTTTCGATGCGCACCTTGGGTTGGGGAATGGGAGCATCACATGATCCATATATTGCATGTGGGACTAGGCCGAGGCCCGCGATTTTCATTGGTCGGGGCCCACGACAATGAGGGTCCTTTGTCAGCCAGAGGCCCACGATGCCTAAGAGGGGGTCCTGTGTCGGTAGGGGATCCCCATTCAACCACCGGAACATTTGCTGAGCAGTGACAGAAACTGGACCCTGCATGCCAGAGGGCCTCTTGCGATGGTCAGGGCCCTCTGACAATGGACAGATATATCGGAGCTTATGATGGGGAGTCCAGAGTGAGACAATGAAAGGGCCGCCCTTGGCAGTTAGGGCCTCCAGTACGGAACGAGGGGCTTCCATCCCTTTCCAGCTAACGGTCCATTCAGCCGAAATGTAGTCCTCTGTGACAATCATTGGACACCTATGGCGATAAGGGACCTTGCTGTGTCAATGAAGGCTCCTACACCGATATAGGGCCAAACACCGGGTCGCAGAGCGTCTCGCGTCAGGGAAGGGACCTATATGTGACGGATCCCTCTACGTACCTCCTGATCGACCAGGAGACCACGTCCCCCAGTTGCCAGAATGATGGCCTGTAGGCGACCCACCCTAGGACGAAATGGCCCGTCAGCCCTTCGCCGGGAACGATAACGTGCCTCTATTGGTTTACCAGCGGAGCCTGTTTCCCAGAACAAGATAAAGAGTTTCAATAATTTTCAATAGATTGCAACGAATTTAGGTCAAAGATTAAGAAAAGGCCAGCCCATGAACGCCCACGATTTGGCAGAATCCGCATGTAAAGCTAACCATGAAACACGCTAGCATTCTCAAGAGCGAGAACACCGATGGCCGGGCTTGCAGGCTCCGCAAAACAGAACTGCGTCGGCCGCTGCACACAGCACCAGGCAGCTGGTGCCGGGAGTGCAAGGGCGACCCTAGTAAATAATGCTTTCGAAAGCTTTCAAAATCAATTTCTAGGCTATATTCCGAAAAGATTGACATTTTCAGCCACGTGAGAAATGGAAATTCTACCTTATCTGTTCACTTTGTTTTCCTCTAACCGAGGAGAAAAGACGGGGTCGTGGTAAGGCGGCCGTTGATCCCACAGGCAGTGGAGATTAACTCCTGCAATCGTGCCGCTGTTGTTACGAATGGTGGTGGGGTGCCTTGAGATTCGGAGCGAGTTTCCCTCCTCGGCGGGTTGTCGTCGTGACGTGCAACGTCATGGACGAGGACGACCGGGCCGGCCGGGGCACGACGCGTCCGGCAGGGGCGCGCCCGACGCGTCTGGGCTGGGGGAGAAGGGGCGCGACCGGGCCGGCCGGAGCACAACGCGTCTGGCCCGGGGCGGGCACGGCGCGTCTGGGCTGAGGAGGAGGGCGCGACCGGGCCTGCCGGAGCGGGCCCGACGCGTCTGGGCTGAGGAGAAAGGGACGAACCGGGCCGGCCGGAGCACGACACGTCTGCCTCGGGCGGGCCCGACGCGTCTGGGCTGGGGAGAGAGAGAGAGGGAGGGGGGGGGGGGGGTGACGTGTCGACGTGGGGCGGCTTAAAGCAGGGTGTCAGCCTTCTTATCCCATGAGAGTAGACTGGCCGGAAATACGACGACCTTGAGAGGAAAACTGTGGTTCGTGTGTCATTGGCTATGATGCATTCAGCACGTTACGGTGGCCCGCTTTACGTAGAAGATGTAGCCGGAGGATGAATTCATGAAAGGCT